CTCGCTTCACTTCCATTTTTTTGCTTAGTGATCTTGGAAATATCTGTTTTGTTTTCTTTCTCTCTTTTCATTTCATTTGTAAACACTGAGTGACATCAATCATGATGGAGTTCAGTGAAAATTTATATTAAGGATAAGAGGAGTTTATGTTTGTTGTAAAGAAACTATCTAAAACACACAAAAGCATCCTTAGGAACCTCCTAAAAATTTCTTTCTTCTACTTTTTTCTTCATTTTAATCATTTCAATTTTTTTTTAAATTGCATTCAAACTTTCAGTAAGAATTCTCATTCTATTTTCTTATTCTAGTATTAATTTTTAAATATCAAGTAAGTTTTAAAATCCTTTTTTTTTTTTTTTGCTTGGAGCAGTTTTAGGTTCCAAGCCAAATTAAGCAGGAAGTACAGATTTCTCACATACCCACTGCACAACACAGGCACAGCCTCCCCCATTGTCCACACCAGAAGGGTCCATTTGTCATAATGGACGAACCTGTATGGACACATCAGCACCCAAAGTTCACAGTTCACTTCAGGGTAGCACTCTTGGTGTTCTACATTCAGTGGGTTTGGACAAAGGAACAATGACATGTGTTCACATGACACAGCACCAGAGAACATTTCTGCTGCCATAAAAATCCTCGGTGCCCTGCCTATTCATTTTTCCCGCCTACTGAATCTGTCAACTTCTGATCTTTATCGTTTACATTTTTTTTTTTTAAAGACAGTCTCAGTATATGTCACCGTCGGCAGAGTGCTGGGGTGTTACAGCTCACAGTAAAGTAACCTCAAACTCTTGGGCTTAAGCAATTCTCTTGCCTCAGCCTCCCAAGTAGCTGGGACAGTTTTATCTTTTCCAGAATGTTGTATAGTTGAGATGATACAATATGTAACCTGTTCAGATTGGCGTCTTTCAATTAGCAAAATGAATTTCAATTTCCTCTGCGTCTTTTCATGGCTTGACAGCTCATTTCTTTTTCTAAATATATTCCATTATCTAAAAACTCTAGGAAAGTAGGATCAATGGTCCAGAAACTATCTAAAAACTTCAGAAAATAGAAAGTAGATGTTATCATACTATAGTAATAGGTTTATCTATCATTTCCACAACATGCCAGGCAGGGTACAGTAGAGGTTGGAGCTCGTGAAGTCCCTCTGATAGAGCTTCTGAGGACAGGAGCATGACAGAGGGAAGAAGTGACTATGAAGCAGCGGCTCAGGTACTGTCCTGGGTCACTCAGCAGGGATATGTTCTCTGAAATGCATCGTTAAGTGATTCTGTCCTTGTGCAAACATCATAGAGTGCACACACACAATCCTAGGCAGCATACATAGCCTACTACATTCCTAGCTTAGACAGCACAGTCTAGTGCTTTTAGGCCACAAACCTGTACATCTTACTGTACTGAATACTGTAGGCAATTTGCAACTGTAGTCAATTTGCAATGGCAAATATGTGTGTCCCTAAAAGTATTTAAACATTGAAAAAAATACCACATAAAGATAAAAACAATGGTACCCTCGTGTAGGGCGATTACCATGAACGGAGCTTGCAGGGTGAGTCCAGGGAGTGAGTGATGAGTGGATATGAAGGCCTAGGGCGTTCCACTACTGTGGACTTTATAAGGATGGCACACTTACTTGAGGCTACATTACATTTATAAAAGATTTTTCATTCTTCAATAATAAATTAACCTTAGCTTACTTTTTTACTTTATCAAGTTTTTAATTTACCTTTTGACTTTTTATTTCTTCACTTTATTATTACTATTGTTATTTTTTGAGACAGAGTTTTACTCTCTTGGCTTAGGTGAATGCAGTGGTATCATCATACTTCACTGCAACCTGAAACTCCTTGGATCAGAGTGATCTTCCTGCCTCAGCCTCCCGAGTAGTTGGGAGTACAGGTATACACCACCACACCAGGATAATTTTTCCATTTTTTATAGAGATGGGGTCTCAGTCTTGCTCAGACTGATCTTGAATCACTGGTCTCAAGTGATCCTTTGGCCTTGGCCTCCCAGAGTACTGGGGTTATAGGTGAGAGCCATTGTACCCAACCACTTTACTTAAAAAGATTTTTTGTGTTAAAAACTAAGACACAAACACACACATTAGCCTAGGCCTACACAGGGTCAGGATCATCATTATCACTGTCTTCCACCATCGTGTCTCACTGGAAGGTCTTCAGGGATAATAACATGCATGCAACTGTCATCTCTTACCATAACAACACTTTCCTTAAGGCCCTGCCTGAGGCTATTTTACAGTTAACTTTTTTTTTTAATACAAGTAGAACACTATAAAATGTTAACAAGTATAGTAAAATAAACACATAAACCAGTGACTCAATTGTTTATCAGTATTACCACTGTTATTTCCTATATATAACTAATAGGCTGTACTGTCATATGACTGGCAGCACCACAGAGGGATGTGCTGCACCAGGATGTTACAACCACTAAGGGCAGTAGGAATTTTTCAGCTCTATTATGATCTTACAGAACCACTGTGGTCTGTTACTTACTGAAACATTATGCAGCATGTGACTATAGCTAATTAGGACACTAGCTGTGGCACTGCAGGGCAGGGACCTTCTCCACTGGCCCACCCTCAGAACAAATGATTGCAGAAGTTCCTTTGTTTGGAGTCCTGCAAATTGCTTTTCAAAGGTGGTATAGAGTCAGTACTGATTCAGACCTTAAAGTCCTGAAGAGTGAAAGAAATCTCTACTACCAGAGGTAGAAGAAAGCATTTACTTTGGAAACTGTGGGGGTCCCTTGCATCCTGTCACTACACTAACAGGCCACCTACCTGCCTGTTAACAGGACCAGCTGTAATTAAGCCTTCTCCTGCATGGGGAAGGCCTTCAGCATGAACAGTCTTCACAACTGCAGTGAGGCCGATGCCTGCTGCCCGACCTCATCCACTGCAGGGCAGAGCTGTCCCTGTAGAGCTGAAATCTTTCTGGGCTGTGATTGACCACTGACTTGATAGTCTCAGCAGGTCTGTGGCTGTTAATGGATTGTGTCTCTAGGCAGAATGCTAAAGAGTCAAGAATAAAAGACTTACCATCTTACCTTTTTCATAGGTTTTTAGATTGCAACACAAACATCACAGACCTTCTGATAAAAAAATTTCTTTTGGAACTTACGCATATTATTTTTTATCTGGCAATAGGTAGAAATTTAGGAAGTGATCAGTTAAAAAATGATACAATTTGAAATAGATGGGTGGCCATGACTTCCTTTCATTATTATTATTATTTTTTTGATACAGAGTCTCACTCTGTTGCCCAGGCTAGAGTGCTGTGGCATCAGCTTAGCTTACAGCAACCTCAAACTCCTGGATTTAAGCAATCCTCCTGCCTCAGCCTCCTGAGTAGCTGGGACTACAGGTGCCCACCATGATGTCCGGCTAATTTTTCTATTTTTAGTAGAGACAGGATCTCACTCTTGTTCAGAACTCCTGAGCTCAAGCTATCCCCCTGCCTCGGACTCCTCGAATGCTAGGATTACAGGCATGAGCCACTGTCTGACCCTAATTCATGTCCTTCTCACAGGCAAAACACATTTATTTTGCCTAAGCCATTCCGTGTGAAGCTAGTTAAATCATCTTTCACCCAATGTATCATTACAAAAAAACAGATATACAGGAGATGTACTGACATGGAATGAGCTCCAAAATATCTTAGGAGGAAAAAAGGGTACAGAACTTGGTGTATATGCCATCACATGTTTCTTAAAAAATGTGTGTATATGGGACCACACCTACGGTGCATCTTACAAGGGTACATGTGAAACTTACTAAATGTAGAATATAAATGTCTTAACACAATAACTAAGAAAATGCCATGAAGGCTATCTTAACCAGTTTGAGGAAAATATTTCAAGTTGTATATAAAACCAGCACATTATACCCCATGACTACATTAATGTACACAGCTACCATTTAACAACAACAACAACAACAAAAATGTGTGCATATGTATACTTGAATACATACATACTATCTATCTTTATAAAGATACACCAAAAAAAAATGTTAATTGTTGCTCTGGAACAGAGGGTGGAGACTTGCTTTTCTATTTTAGTAGTTTGCTCAGGATGGTCTCAAACTCCTGAGCTCAGGAGATCCACCTGCCTTGGCCTCCCAGAGTGCTAGGATTACAGGCCTGAACTACTGAGCTGGCCTATAATTTTTTTTTTTTTAAAGGATTTTGTATGTTACCACTTCAGAACTTCTTACAAACTAACAAGAAAGTCAAACAACCAAATAGATAAATGGGCGGAGGAATAGAAAGAAACTCACTACAGAAACACAAACAACTAGCAAATATGGAAAAATACAAAACTCTTCTCTAATAACCCCCCTCTTCTAATAAAAAGAAATGTATATAACAATAAACTGTCATTTCCCTATTATCAAGGTGACAAAAATTCAAAAGCTTTAAAACTTTTGATACTGGTAAGAGCATGGAAAACTTCCACTGGTAGAAATATAAGCCTTGAAAGAGAGCAATTTGGCAGCATACGTGAACATTTAAATGTACACGGTTTATGTTCCAGCAGTTACACCTATAGAGCTCTCTCTTTCAGCAACACTAACTGGGGCACTCTGCTTAGTGCTACCTAAAGATACAGAAGCAATATATCATAGTGACCTAGAACACAGGCTCTAGAACAGAATGCCTGTTCAAATCGCATTTCCTAGCTTTGAGACACTGACAAACTTCTAATTTTATGGCCTTAGTTTTTACATTTATAAAATATAATATCTACCTCTGGGTGGCTCCTATGGCTCAAAGGAGTAGGACACCAGCCCCAGATACTGGAGGTGGCGGGTTCAAACCTGGCCCCAGCCAAAAACAAGCAAAAACAACAACAACAACAAAAAAACTACCTCATGGATTCTTATGAGAATTAAATAATGTAATATATGCCATATAAATTAGTAAGAGACTTTCTCACTAAGGAACTTGTAACCAAGGCAAAATGATTGTATTTATAATATCTTTATTCATGTATGCAGTAAATACTGTCCCCTACCAAAAAACAATGAGATTTGTATTTCAACCTGTCAAGTTTAAAAAATTCATCTCTTCTCTATATCACACCTTGACATGATATAGGATGCAGGATGTAAACATCAATTTGCTAGACATTATTAAGTAACTTTGCAAGAATGCAGAATCTTAGATGAATGGTTAAAACGATAGATTAAGTAGGGGCACATGGATACTCTGCATATACAAATGATTTTAACAGAAGATGTGTTTGTACTGATTTCAGGTCACCAACTTGCTTTCTTTGAATCTTTAAATACCCAATTCCAAATCTTCCAGCTCTTGAAGAAGGGCTGTCTCTTTTTGAATTTTTTCCAACTATAAAAGAAAAAGTTAAAATCATGAAGTTATTAAATAGTAAATGACATAATCATTGGACTGGCAACTAAAATAGCATATGACAAATTTAGAGAAAGAATAGTTGATACTTCATCAGATCCACTGGTAAACACAAATTTAAAAATACCAGATTTGTTATCTTGTATTAATCAGGGGGGTAAAGAACAGATACTGTCTTACTGCACCCTTTTGGGCCCACTAAGTTCTCCATTCTATATTTAGGCTAAAAAGTGCTGAAGATTGGAAAGTATTATTCTTAACAAAGTATCCCAAGAATGGAAGAAAAAGTATCCAATGTACTCAGCCCTACTATGAAACTAATTTATAGCTTTCATAGGAAAGCTATAATCTAATTGTAGCCCAGGAACACAGGGAGAGGAGAGAGGGAGGGGAAGGGAGGGGGGAGGGTGGGTGGAGGGAGGGTGATTGGTGGGATCACTCCTATGGTTCACCCTATGTGATGTACATGTGAATCTCTCTAAATGTAAAATATACATGTCTTAACACAATAACTAAGAAAAAGATATTAAGGCTATGTTAACCAGTTGGATGAGAGTATTTCAAATTGTATACAGAAATGTACACTGCTATGATTTACTAAAAAAAATTAAAAAAATAAATCAATATCTTCCCCTACTCAAGTTTAAAAATGTTTAACAGTAAAAGCACTAAAAAGAATATGGCATGTGGTTTTCAAAATACATTTTTAAAATCTTTGTGCTCTTTTCCCCAATTAAATAATTGCTTACAATAAATGGGCAGTGGTTCCTACCAGCTCAAATGAAAAATGCAGGAAATACCTGATTTTTTTCTAGCTGTTTTCCAGTTGCTGCTTGTTCTTTCAGTTGTTCAATTGCTTTCAGTTTCTGCAAGTATCAAATGAGTCAAGGGGAAGGAAAAAAAGTTACTTCTAATGCAAATTTTCTTACTAAAAACTCAACATATGTGAAACCTGAATAAGGAGCCTCAATCATCTTACATTTACATGAAGAGTGGTCTGTTAAAATGCTAGTGTAAACTATTTTGTAAAGCTACACGTAACATTGTATATATCTAAAACATAGGATTTTTCAGCAGAACATTTTTCTAGAAGGAAAAAAAATAGGCTTTGACAAAATATTTTTAACTTTTAATTAATTTTAACATATATGTATGTATATGTATGTAAACATACCACTAATTTCACAATTTATTTCAATACCCTATTGGACCAGGATGATGATGTTGGCTTTAAGAGAAACCTCAAAATGCAGCTGGGAAGGGCTGTAGAGACCTGTGCTACCACCACAAACTGGCTCCAATATTATAAGTTAATAAACTTCTTTATTGCCACTCTATTTTAAAAAAAACTTCTTGTAGAGATAGAGGTCTTGTTATGTTGCCTACAGTGGTCTCAAACTGTTGGCCTCAAGTGGTCCCCCTTTCTTAACCTTCCAAAGCACTTGGGACTACAGACATGAGCCTCCATGGCTGGCCTGTTTCTTCACCTTTGAAACTGAGATAAATATCTGTTCCCACTTATCTCACAGTTATCTAATGATAATGCTGGGTATAAAAGTGTTCAGCCGATTTCTATATGAATGCATATTATTTTTTATTCCTTTAAAATCAATAATAAAAGTTCTCATTGCCGTTAGACACTTGTGAATAGAACTAAAACCAGTACCATTCCTAAGTTACAGTATTTTACATAGTGAGAAAGCAGTAAGACCTGCTACTGTAGGACAGAGTACAGGGTTCAAAGTGCCAGGCACTAGGGACAGAGTAATTGGGGGAAAAGCCAAGAATCACGAGTACTGAAAACAGGACTCACTAGGCACCGCATACTGTCTCACCCTAAGTCATTTATTAGCAATGATAAAATTAAGGCAAGATAGAAGTGCAGTAAACAGAATCTTTTAAGAATTCCATCATGGCTCAGCGTCCATAGCACAGTGGTTACGACGCCAGCCGCATACACCGAGAGTGGCTGATTCGAACCTGGCCCAGGCCAGCTAAACAACAATGACAACTGTAACAAAAAATAGTGGGGCACTGTGGTGGGTGCCTGTAGTCCTAGCTACGTGGGAGCTGAGGCAAGAGAATCGCTTAAGCCCAAGAGTTTGAGGTTGCTGTGAGCTGTGATGCCACTGTACTCTACCAAGGGCGACATAGTGAGACTGTCTCAAAAAAAAAAAAAAAAAAAAAGAATTCAATCATGCAGTTAAAGAAAAACTACTTGTTTTTTAACCTTGACTCTCTCTTACTGCCACATTTATAAAAGTCTCATGGACTCCTTTCAATATACACATCTTTTTCTTATTTAAGTCTCTCACCTTCTTTAGGTTCTTGATTTTTTTGTCTACCTCAGGGTCTCCAGAAGTTGTCTGAGAGACAGTGTTTCGAGGTGTACTCTGTGGGACAGAAGTAGGTGCCAAATCTGGACTCTTGTCACTTCTTGCTTCCTGTAGGACATATTTTTAAAAAAATTCAATTTTCAAAATTAAAAACATTAAAGTATTTCAATCAACACAGTCCTGGTATATAAAATACAGAAATCAAATATGTGATTTTTATCTACATTTAATAAAAAGAATGTGAATTAAGGCCTCATAAAATATGAAATGACTTTACATGAGTAAACTAGGAGTTATCTGCCAAAAAGTATTCCAGGGGCGGCACCTGTGGCTCAAGGAGTAGGGCACCAGCCCCATATACCAGAGGTGGTGGGTTCAAACCCAGCCCTGGCCAAAAACTGCAGATAAATAAAGAAATAAAATTAAAAAGAAAAAGTATTCCAAAGTCTTAGATATTCTGGAATGTCATGAAATGGATGATCTGAAAATGTGAAAGTGTCACAGGTGTGTCCAACCTGCAGACCCTGAGATGCAAGCCGATTTTCTGATTGCTTTTTTTGCTTATCTGCGGAATCAGACAACATGAGAAGTATGTGCAGACTGTTTTTTTGCTAATCAGCTTTTGTTAGGGTTTGTGAATATGATGTGTGGCCCAGGACAACTCTTACTCTTCCACTGTGCAGAAGAGAAAAAAGGTTGGAGACTCCAGATAATTTCCCTTTCTGCAAAACTATAGAAAGCATGTACGACCAAGTACATATAATGGATGATGCTACAAGAATAAGAATCCCACAGAGATTTACTTATAATCAGGTCAATTCAGTTCTGCAACAAAGTAGTATGGAAAGCCTTTCCCCCTTAAAGGGATGCTGCATTGCTTCCAATATGACCAGACCTCCTTTCTGGCCTCATCTCTGCTCATTGAAGGACCAATTCTGAACCACTTTTGTTTCCCCTGAAGTGTCATATACTCTTGCCTCATGGCCTTTGTGTACAGTATTCTTATCCACAGGTTTACTTTCCTTGGTTTAAGTTACCTGTAGTCAACTGTGGTCTGAAAATATTAAATGGAAAATGCCAGAAATAAACAATTCATAAATTTAAAATTGCATGTCGTTTTGAATTGCATGATAAAAATCTTTTGCTGTCCCTCCCAGACAACAGTCATCATTTTATCTAGCATATCTATGCTGTGTAAGTTCTCCACCCATGTTTCACTTAGCAGCTGTCTTGGTTACCAGATTGACTGTCATGAAATCCCGCTGCTTGTGTTCAAGTGACCCTTATATTTTAGTTAATGACCCCAAAGCACAAGAGTAGTGATGCTGGCAATCTGGAATTGCCTAAGAGCCGCTATAAAAAGCTTCCTTTCAGTGAAAAGGTGAAAGCTCTTGACTTAATAGGGAACAAAAGAATGTACACTGATTTGCAAAGGTCTATGGAAAAAATGAACTCTTCTACCTGTGAAACTGAAGAAGGAAAAAAAAAATCCATGCTAGTTCTGAAGTCACTTTTCAAACTATAAAAGTTATGGCCAGTTATTCATCTCACTTCCTCTCATCACATTGACACTGTACCATCTCACATCATCACAAGAAGGGTGAATACAGGATAATGAGTTTTTTTGAGAGAGACAGAAAAACTGCCTTCACACAACTTTTAGTACAGTGTATTGTTATATTTGTTCTATTATATTACTAGTTACTGTCATTCATCTCTCACTGTGCCTAGTTTATGTATTAAACTTTATCAGACATACACATGTATAGGAACAAACATAGTATACCTAGGGTCTGGTACTACCTGTGGTGTCAGGCATCCTTTGAGGGTCTTTGAACCTATCCCTTGCAGATAAGGGAGAACACCTTCCCTCACAAGTCACGTGGCCAAACCCTACTTATTCTGGAAAACTCCTCCACCTTCACACTGGATTAGTGGCACTTTTCCTAGGCTCCCATAATTCCCTTGTAACCCTACTGTAACACCATATAGCATTATTCCCCATTAGACTTGGGGCCTTGGCATGATACTTGCTTTATTGTATGGAGTAAATTAACCAAAGAGCAAAAGAATGACTCTTATTTTATAATTAGGATAAGACACATGTTTTGACAAGAGGGGAAAAGTTATTTAAATCTTTCTTAGCCCTGAAGTACAATTTCTACTTCTTCCTTGTAGAGTTCTCAGTGGAACATATAATGCCCAGGTCTCTGAACGTTTTACTCTGAGATGTGGGTGGATACTATGAACTCATGGACTGTCCCAGGGGAACACAGAATAGGGTACCACTCCTAGGTCTCCAGCTCTACAATAGTCTGCCTCAAAGTTTGTACACAGTACACAATTGGAGTTACTTTTTCTTTTTAAAGTCATATTGGTTTCACTTTTTGTACATGCCAATTCAACTAACAATTCCTTACTTTCTAAGTCAAAACACATTACTGGGCACTCTGAGTGTTCAGAAAGAAAATATTTAGTTCCTACTCTTAAGAAAAATGAAGTTCTGATAATATGCAGTTTGTTATTTTTCATAATATAAAACTGAAGTAGAAGAGAGGATAAAAAAGATAAGGTGGAATATTTTGCCTGTCAAAATTCACTTTTGATATCAGATGAAAAATACAAAATTTTGATTGCTAGCAATGAGCTGAAAATATAACCTTCATCTAAGAAGAAAGATTACTACTGTAACTGTAAAAAAATTAAAGTGAAATATGAATGTATTTTTCCTCCAAGAATAATTTAAAATATTTGCATTATTATATGTAAATTCTGGTCACTCTCTAGAAAAGATGTATATATGGTAAAATTAAATTCTTATATTTCAACTCTTTTTTTGGTAAAGTTAACAAATGTCTAAAAATATTACCAGTTTATAAAAATACTAGTGAAAGGCCAGACATGGTGGCCCATGCCTGTAATCCCAGCATTCTGGGAGGTGGAGGCAGGTGGAATGCCTGAGCTCAGAGGTTCAAGACCAGCCCAAGCCAGAGTGAGACCCCGCCTCTAAAAACAGCCAGGTGTTGTGGCGGGCACCTGTAGTTCTAGCTACTTGGGAGGCTGAAGCAAGAGAATTGCTTGACCCCAGGAGTTAGAGGTTGCTGTGAGCTATGATGCCATAGTACTCTACTGAGGGCGACAAAATAAGACTCTGTCACAAACAAACAAACAAACAAACAAACAAAAAACTGAGTTAGATGATATACATCTGACTGTTTCCTCTTTGGGTACTTAATTCAGGTCTGAGATTGAGGAGGCCTGGTCAAGGTGAAATCCTGTCATGGGCCATTTAGCTCTGTTCTATCACACAGTTTTAACTTTTATTAATGCCAGCAGGTCACCTCAAAAAGGTAAGATTTGAGGTAAGATTTGAAAGATTTATCTTGCAAGTTGAAAACCTTTTGCCATTACTGGAAATTAGCAAGTTGATAATGATGGATTAGTGGTACCATCTTTTTTGTTTGTTTTTGGAGACAGTCTCACTGTGTCACCTGGGTAGAGTGCTGTGGTGTTAAAGTTCTCAGCAACCTCAAATTCCTGGGTTTGAGTGATCTTCTTGCTTCAGCCTCCTGAGTAGCTGGGACTATAGGCACCCACCATAATGCATGACTAGTTTTTCTATTTTCAGTAGAAACGGGAGTCTTGCTCTTGCTCACACTGGTCTTGAACTCCTGAGCTTAGGCAATCCTCCTGCCTTGGCCTCCCAGAGTGCTAGGGATTATAGGTGTGAGCCACCATGCCCAGCCAGTGGTACCATCTTTAGTAAACAATATATGTGAGTACTTGTATGATCATATAAAAGGGGTAGATTTGTTTTTTTGTAATTATTACATTTTTTTGTTCGTTTGTTTTGCTTTTTTAGAGACAGAGTCCCACGTTGTTGCCCTTGGTACAGTGCCATGGCGTTACAGCTCACAGCAATCTCCAGTTCTTCGGCTTAGGTGATTCTCTTGCCTCAGCCTCCCGAGTAGCTGGGATTATAGGCGCCTGCCACAATGCCCAGCTATTTTTTTGTTGCAGTCTGTCCAGGGCCATGTTCAAACCCACCACCCTCGGTATATGGGCCGGCGCCCTTCTCATTGAGCCACAGGCACTGCTCTGTAATTATTATGTTTTATATTAACAGTATTGATGGTTTTGTTCAAAGAGCCACAATGCTCAATTTAATCAAGTTGACTATTTTAAAATATATTTTTCTGGGGGTTTTTGTTTTGTTTTGTTTTTATGAGACAGAGTCTTAAGCAGTCACCCTGGGTAGAGTGCTCTGGCATCATAGCTCACAGCAACTTCCAACTCTTGGGCACAAATGATCCTCTTGCCTCAGTTTTTCTATTTTTAGTAGAGACAGGGTCTTGCTTTTTGCTTAAGCTGGTCTTGAACTCATGAGCTCAAGCAATCCATCTGCCTTGGCCTCCCAGAGTGCTAGGATTATAGGCATGAACCAGTATGCCTGGCCTAAAATTGATTTTTCTGAATACTAATTTCCCCACTTTTTACATGCTCAAATGTCACAAAAGCATGCAAAGTACACAACTAATATTATATTACAAAGGGATTTTAGGGGCAGTGCCAGCCCCATATACCAAGGGTGGCGGGTTCAAACCTGCCCCTGGCCAAACTGCAACAAAAAATAGCCAGGCACTGTGGCAAGTGCCTGTAGTCCCAGCTACTCGGGAAGCTGAGGCAAGAGACTCGCCTAAGCCCAGGAGCTGGAGGTTGCTGTGAGCTGTGTGATGCCATGGCACTCTACTGAGGGCAATAAAATGAGACCCTGTCTCTACAAAAAAAAAAAAAACCAAAAAAACAAAAGGGATTTTAGTTCAGTACCAGTGATGGTCATATTAACAATATCTTCTGATAAAGAGGAAGAAAGCTTGCTTATAAAAACAGAATTCTAGGCTGGGTGCCTGTGGCTCCAGCGGCTAAGGCACCAGCCACATACACCTGAGCTAGAGGATTCAAATCCAGCCCAGGCCCGCCAAACAACAATGACAGCTGCAGCCAAAAAATAGCCGGATGTTGTGGCAGGTGTCTATAATCCCAGAATCCCAGCTACTTGGGAGGTGGAGGCAGGAGAATCACTTGAGCCCAGGAGTTGGAGGTTGCTGTGAGCTGTGATGCCACGGTACTCTACCCAGGGCGACAGCTTGAGGCACTGTCTCAAAAAAGAAACAACAAACAAACAAAAAAAAAACCCTAGAATTTTAAGTTGTGTGGGCTTCAGGGGGCCATAAGTCTCAATCAGAAGGCATAAGAAGTTATAAGGACACTATTAACCTGTTACAAAATCCAGAAACAGCAAAGGTCCCTATCCACACTGATGAAGGGATGAGTTTAGCTTTCATACCAATTCATGGAGATCACTGTACCTGGAATAACCTAAACTTGACCAATTAAAAGATACTTCTAAAAATTAATTTTAAAAAATGTTATTGAGAAGGGGTCTCCCTAGGTTATCCATGCTGGTCTCAAACTCCTGGGCTCAAGCAGTCCTCCTGCCACAGACTCCCATGTAGCTGGGATTAAAAGTACACTACCCACTGTGCCTAGCTGGAGATGAAATTTATTAGCTACAAATGAGCACAATGACATTTTTTTAAAAGCCCATATTTTAGCAGAATATGGTTACATAATGCAATCCTACACCTTAAAATAGCAAGTGCCTACCCAAACTCATAAGCAACCTAGATCTGTCAAAATTAAAGAACTGCCAGCAAGCCTATATCGGTGACACAGCAATCAAGCTGTTAAAAATCTACCTCACTGCTGGCTCGGCGCCTATAGCCCAACCGGCTAAGGCGCCAGCCACATACACCTAAGGTGGCGGGGTCGAATCCTCAGCCCGGACCCGCCAAACAACAATGACGGCTGCAACCAAAAAACAGCTGGGCGTTGTGGCAGGCGCCTGTGGTCTCAGCTACTTGGGAGGCGGAGGCAGGAGACTCGCTTGAGCCCAGGAGTTGGAGGTTGCTGTGAGCTGTAATGCCACGGCACTCTACCCAGGGGGACAGCTTGAGGCCCTGTCTCAAAAAAAAAAAAAAAAAAATCTACCTCACTGCTATGGTCTGAATGTTGGCATCCCCCCAAATTTATATATTGGATACTAATACCCAATGTGATAGTATTAAGAGGGGGGCTTTTACCTCCTCAGGAAGTAAGTCCTGAGGACTCCACTCTCATTAATGGGAGTAATGCCCTTGCCCTTCCATTATGGTACACATAGATGGTACCTCTTTGAGCACTAGATACCAAATCTCTCAGCACCTTGCACTTAAAAGACTTCCCAGTCTCCAGAACTGTGAACAATAAATGTCTGTTATTTATAAATTACCCAGTTTAAGGTCTTTGGTAACAGCAGTCCGAATGGCATTGTCTGAATTGCAAAAATGTCATCTCCATGACGTCACTAACCAGACTTTCCCAGCCCAGCTGATCATACTATCACCATGAGCCATACAATGTAATAATTTGTCAATTATTACACTGACATGTTATTTAAACAATATAATAAAATTAAAAAATTATTCTAAGCTGGGTATAGTGGCTTATGCCTGTAATCCCAGCACTCTGGGAGGCCAAGGTGGGTGGATTGCTTGAGCTCAAGACTTGTTCAAGAACAGCCTGAGCAAGAGCAATACCCTGTATCTAAAAATAGCCAGGTGATGTGGCAGGCGCCTGCAGTCTCAGCTACTTGCGCCTGCAGTCTCAGCTACTTGCGAGGCTGAGGCAACAGAATCACTTACACCTAAGAGTTTGTGGTTGCTGTGAGCTAGGATGCCACAGCAGTCACCCCAGGGCAACTGAGTGAGACTGTCTCAAAAAAAAAAAAAAAAAATTTATTTTAGACTAATTCCAGTAGTCTGACTGCAGTGGCTCATGCCTGTTATCCCACCACTTTTGGAGGCTGAGGTGGTAAGATTGCTTGAGGCCAGCAGTTCGAGACAAACCTGAGTAATACTTTGCCAGTTAGAAAAAATAGAAAAATTAGTTGGGGTGGTGGCCTGTGTCTATAGTCCCAGGTACTTGGGAGGCTGAAACATGAGGATGGCTTGAGCCCAAGATTTGAGGGTGCAGTGAGCTATGATAACACCACTATATTCTAGCCCTGAGCAACAGAGTAAGGTGCCATCTCAAAAAAAAAATTAATATATAAAACTTTATTACTTGGGTACTTTTGGTATTTATTCATAGATTCCCAGCTGAATAATCTGGGCCTTTCATACATTTCATATAGTAGTATAATACTTAGTCTCAACTGGCTTTATAGTCATGTTTTTTCCAGATTCTACTAATTAATACATACTTTTTTTTTTTTTTAAGATAGAGTCTCATTTTGTCACCCTCGGCAGAGTGCTGTAGCATCATAGTTCACAGTAATCTCAAAGTCTTTAGCTCCAGTGATGATCTAACCTCAGCCTCCCGAGTAGCAGGGACTACAGGCACCCACCACAATACCTGGCTATTACTGGAGACAGGGTCTTGCTCTCGCTCAGGCTGGTCTTGAACCTGTGAGCTCAGGCAATCCACCTGCCTCCCAGAGGGCTAGGATTACAGGCGTGAGCCACTGTGCCTGGCCAATACATATTTTAAAGACAGCAAACTATACTACTTCATACAGGTTCAACCAAAAAGGTCTAAAGAAAGTAACATATTACATAATCCCATAAAATAGTGGGGCCACATTAGGGTGTCAGAAATCAAGTCCATTTAGTTCATCACCCATTATACAGACAGGCTGCCTAGAATAGTAGGAAGTAGAAGTAGCAATGAAAATAATTTTATGGTTGGGGGTCACCACAACATGAGGAACTGTATTAGAGGGTCGCAGCATTGGGAAGGTTGAGAACCACTGGCCTAGAAATTCATAGGCAAACACAAAAGAAAGATATTCTACCTACTTAAGTCTAACTCCAAATTCATTTTATTACATAACAGTTAAGTCTTTGTTCCACGATCTTTTTTTTTTTTTTTTTTGTAGAGACAGAGTCTCACTTTATCGCCCTTGGTAGAGTACCATGGTGTCACACTGCTCACGGCAACCTCCAACTCCTGGGCTTAGGTGATTCTCTTGCCTCAGCCTCCCAAGTAGCTGGGAATACAGGTGTCCGCCACAACGCCCAGCTATTTTTTTATTGTATTTCGGCTGGGGCCAGGTTTGAACCCACCATCCTCGGTATATGGGGCTGGTGCTGAGCTGAACCCACTGAGCCACAGGTACCGCCCTATTCCACAATTCTTTATATTTAAAGGCTCACAGCTAATTAACTTTTGGTTTTGTTTTGAAGAAATTTGTGCCACAAATACCTGCTTTGCAGCTTTCTTAGCTTCATGCTTCCTTTGATTTTTAAGGGCTGTTTTTGATAATGGCTTATCATTTCCTGGTTGTGGTTTCATATTCTGAGGTGGTTCCTCTTCATGCTATGGAAATATAAAATAAATAATTTAGAAACAGAGTCCATGTTTTAAAAGACATATACAACAAAATTAAACACTTTTGCTAGTATAGGATAAGCTTAGTTTATCAACTTATTTTAAGATCACTGACAAAGATTATTTCAAAACGCTTACTAGGAGTGGCACACTCTAAGTATTAGGATGGATTTTAATTTTATTCCTAGTAGCTGATAGATGTTTTTCAATTATATAAGAGCTGGCAAGATTCACTGTAGTTTTGTTAAAACATATAATTTTTCTTAGGACTACTGCAGACACATAATTCTTATGAAACTAGATACTAATAATAGTCTTTCCTGAGGTCTTTTGGTTCTGACTAGGGTCAACAGAAGCTTAACTGCTTCACTTATTTTCTTCACACAAAGGATTACTTACTAGATCTTTATTTGTAAACCCAGAGGTTAGAAGATCAAAAATAAAAGCAAATGAAAAAGCAATATATTATAAGAAGATATCAAATAGAAAGAGGTAAGTAACTGCATAATTATAAATCTGAGACTGATATAATGAAGAGGCCAACAAAAAATTAAGTGGTGTATCAAATTATTACAATGAAGAAAATCATTTTTTTCATCAGAATATAACCATAAAACAACTACAGTAGAACCTCAATAGCTGACCACTTCCCTACATTGACCACCTCCTTAAGTTGACCTAATTGTCATAAATTGGATATGCACCACATGTACATATGAGCACAGGAGGCCTCATTCCTTATGTTGACCATCTCTGTATGTCGACCAATTTGTTACAGTCCCTTGGGTGGTCAATTTACAGAGATTCTACTGCATATTTGAAGACAGAAAGAGGGTGGACTAAATATAGTTTCAAGGTACCTCCCAATAGCTTCAGGCAACATTTACAGTATTAAGTGATGGCACTATACAACTCCTCATCAGAGCCATCTACTCAATGATATCTATCTACACGGTTGTTCTTTTAGTGTTAACGCTCTCTTAGACTCTGTCATACTTAGCATATCAAAAGTACCAGTTCTTATAAAGTTTCTTGAGTACCAGGTCTCAAATATGCATTGGGCTTACAAGTCCTTTAAGGAAATGAGCAGGGTGCAAACACTTAAGAAACAGAGAAATAACGATGTTTGTAGAACAAACTTAGAGCACCGGCCTCTTTCACTTCTTTTTTAATCACCTTGCATAAAATGTTTAGTTAAGGTATACAATATTTACTAAACATTTGTTTATACATAACATCAAAATTTGTTCAACAGTGGGCTCTTCTACAGTACCTTGCTTTGGCTGAAAATGTTTCTGCTCAAGAGAACTTTGATTAAAAACGATGCAAGAAGAAACTTACAAATCTCTCTCACGTTTACAAGCATTAAATACAAATACGAAAAGTAAAAATAAATATCACAGGGGTTAATTTATTAAATATTTTTATGCAACTTAATTCAGATAATATAACAAGAGTGTTGAACAGAACATTTCAACAGAAGTTAAGAAGTTAAAGGTGACTGCTGCATTTTTAGTCCAGGAGTGGCACAAGGGAAGCCTAGGAACATTTATTCTTTGAAAAAGTATCTACTTGTCTGAGGACCTAAAAATGAAGTAACTATACATTCCCCTTTACTTGGTGCAGTCCCTGTTTACAGCTAATGTACAGTCATTTTTCTGATAACATCAATAATCATTCTTAGAGCTCCTTTACTCCTTAATGCCATTATAGAAACTCAGGGAATGAATAAATGCTCTCCCTTGAGCTCTGAACTGTAATACTTTTAAAGCAATTTGACCAATACTCTGGCCTTAACTTCATAACAGAGGTTGGAAAATAATGGCCTGAAGACAACAAATGTGTTGTCTTTGACCATCAGTATTTTAAAAATTGAGAAATTTCCCCAAGCATCCAGACTCATTTTGTCTTGAAAATCAAACATTTTGGAAAACTGGATGTAAAATTTCCTATGGAAATAATCAGCTATTTCTATGTAGCTGCTATGGCTTTCAAAGAGGGCATAAGCTCTCTCATCTACCACTCACTCCCCCACCCACTCACTACTGCCCTATATGACTGGCCTACCCTGACTTGAATTTGAGCTCCTGATCCGTAAAGCCAATATGTTATAGTCAGTTATCTTTCTCAGAAAATTAAAATGTGAATTGTTTTATGTTAACTACTTTGTCAACAATATGAGCTACTCACTGTCTATAGGAGCAGGTCTCAATGATTTCTGCATTAGGGTTTATATGTACTCTTTTTTTTTTTTTTTTTTTGAGACAGAGTCTATGTTGCCCTCTATAGAGTGCCATGTGTCATAGCTCACAGCTACCTCAAAGTCCTAGGCTCAAGTGAGGCTCAAGTTTCTGGTCTCAGCCTCCCAAGTAGCTGGGATTATAGGTGCCCGCCATAAAACCTGTCTAGGTTTAGAGATGGGGTCTCGTTATTGTTCAAGCTGGTCTCGAACTCCAAAGCTCAAGCAATCCACCCATATTGGCCCCCAAAAGTACTAGGATTATAGGTGTGAGCCAACCGATCCTAGCCTCTGTTTTATATGTATTCTAATGAGGTACTAAGAACATAAAAAAGTTCTAGAGAACTCCACAAAACAAAAAACCTGCCCACCGAAGTAGTAAAACAATACTTACCAGTTTGGAATTGGTGACGGGTTTATTTCTTAAAGCTGGGGGTCTATAAGCCGTTGCAACTTTAGGTACCTCATTGGGTACTTCACTTGGAACTGCCTGGTAAGTTATTGTTTTTGCAGGAAATACTCCATCCAGAAATGGCTGCCAAGTAACCTGCCATAATTCTCCATTTGATGGCACATTATATTTATGCAAGATAGAGCCAGTATAATGCCAAATCTTGTACCCATTATTAACACGTAACCTGGGAGCACATGTGGCTGTTAAAATATGCTCACCATCTGGGCACCAAGCAAAATAGGTAGAATCACAAGCCACTGGTTTAGAAATAAGTTTGTAGTTTTTAACATCCCATACTTCCATTTGTCCTCTCAGATTTCCAAATCCAGCTAATACTAATATATGTCCATGAGGGTTATAAAAGGCTGCATTACGAGGACCAGTTCCAAAGTCAAATACAGGATCACATTTCAAGTTGAAAATTGTCGCTTTGGCAGGCATAAAACCATAAACAACGCAAAACTCAGAAGAACTAGAATTCCAAACTACATCATAAATGGGGCCATTTTTTGCTAAAAAAAAATAAAATTCAAATTAGCAATCAAGAATTAAATGAATATACCATCCATTAGTACAGTTATAAACTACAACATTTATAAACATGTAAAACAGTAAAGAAAAACCTCTAAAAATGTCAAGGAATGTTAAAATTAACATATTCTTATAAGATATGCTATGGAGATTAATATATAATCATAAACTTATCTAAAAGCCCTTACTGAATCTTTGTTAAGATACTCTGTCACCTTGGATAGAGTGCTCTGGGATCAAATAGCTCACAGCAACCTCAAATTCTTGGGCTCAAGAGATCCTCTTATCTCAGCCTCCCTAGCAGCTGGGACTACAGGTACCCACCACCACACCCAGCTAATTTTTTCTTTTTCTAGTAGAGACAGGAACTTACTTTTGGCTCACACTGGCCTTGAACTCCTGAGCTTAGGCAATCCACCGCCTCAGCTTCCCAGAGTGCTAGGATAACAGGCGTGAGCCAACATGCCCAGCCATCCCCACCTATTGAATCTTAATTTCTGTTAAATATCTTGGCATTGTGGGCTCAGAGAAGCCCACATGGGATTTTAATAATAGATTATTATTATTAATAAATGCACTTTTGGAAGAGGTAATATATGCACATGAAAATAAAAATAGAAACTATATAAAAACACAGACCACAAAAATAGGTACCCCAGAGCTAAGTGTGCTGGCTCATGTCCGTAATGCTGGTACTTTTATAGGCTGAGCTGGGAGATCGCTTGAGCCCGGTAGTTTGAGACTAGCTTGAGTACATACTGACACCCAACCACTACAAAAAGTTTAAAAATCAGCCAGGTGTGGTGGGTACCTGTAGCCCCAATTACTTGGGAGTCTGAGGCGGGAGGATCGCTTGAGCAAGGGAGTTTAAAGCTGCAGTGAGCTATGATCATGCCACTGCTCTCCAGTCAGGCAATAGAGTGAGACTTTGTCTCAAAATGAAAAGAACCTTAAGCTCTGTCTCACTCTTTTTCACATGCACTGTATTCCATTACAAACTTTGCTGTGTATTCTCCACTGTGACCATACACAAATAGGTCTGTAGGAGCAAAACTGCAAAGTTAAAAGGCAGATGCATTTACTTGATGATATCCGACCAAAATGCCTATTAAAAAGGTTGTACCAGCTTGGCACCTGTAGCTCAAGCAGCTAAGGTGCCAGCCACATACACCAGAGCTGGCAGGTTCGAATCCAGTCCGGGCCTGCCAAACGACAATGACAACTACAACTAAAAAATAGCCAGGCATTGTGGTGGGCACCTGTAGTTCCAGCTACTTGGGAAGCTGAGGCAAGAGAATCACTTAAGTCCAGGAGTTGGAGGTTGTTGTGAGCTGTGATGCCATAGCCCTCTACCCAGAGTGACAGCTTGAGGCTATTTTTTGTGCAGTTGTCACTGTTGTTTAGCTGGCCCGGGCTAGGTTCAAACCTACCACCCTCGGTGTATGTGGCCAAGTCCATAACCACTGTGCTACGGGCACCAAGCCCTTTCAACAGTTTCTGATGGTGCAGGTTTCCCCTTGCTCTCAGGCATACTGTGTAGTTTCATATTTTTATCTTTGCCACCTTATTAAGTGAAAACTTCTATCTTGTTTTCATTTCTTTCTTCTGAACAAAAATAAGTCCATCTTTTTTTTCATTTCTTTCTTTTTGGAGACAGAGTCTCACTTTATTGCCCTCAGTAGAGTGCTGTGAGTCATAGCTCACACCAACCTCAAACACTTGGACTCAAGCAATTCTCTCTCTCTTTTTTTTTCTTTCAAGCAATTCTCTCTCCTTATCCTCCCAAGTAGCTGGAACGATAGGCACTCGCCACAATGCCTGGCTATTTTTTTAGAGACAAGGCCTCATTGTGGTTCAAACTGGTCTCAAACCTGTGAGCTCAGGCAATCCTAGCCTCCCAGAGTGCTAGGATTACAGGTGTGAGCTACCAAACCTAAACTTTTTTTTTTCATTTCTATTTCTTTAATTATTAGCTAAGCAAGTCTTTTAATATAAGTAATTTAATTTCTTCTTCTGTTTTGGGGGGTTTTTTTTGAGATAGAGCCTTAAGTTGTTGCCCTGGGTAGAGTGCCATAGCGTCACAGCTCACAGCAACCTCCAACTCTTGGACTTAAGCAATTCTCCTGCCTCAGCCTCCCAAGTAGTTGGGACTATTGATGACCACCACAATGCCCGGCTATTTTTTGGTTATGGGTGTCACTGTTGTTTGGCAGGCCCCGGCTGGATTTAAATCCGCCAGCTCTGGTGTATGTGGCTGGTACCTTAGCTGCTTGAGCTATAGGCACTGGGACTAATTTCTTTTTCTGTGTACTAATTTTGACTGTCCGATGCCCACTTTTCTCTAGTTATTGGTCTATTATCTGGTTTAAATGTTATATTAAGCAAATTCACCTTTTCTTATACTCCACCCTTGTCTGCTTAAAAACTAATATTTTCCCCAATTTTTGTTTGCTTTGCTTACTTAATGAACTCTTTCCACCCAATGTAGAAATCTATAACTTTTTTACGTTCAAATTTCTGATCTTTTCCCTTGCGACTTCTGTCTTATTTAGAAAGTCTGTTGCTATTTCAAGAGCAGACAAAAATTCTCAGATACTTTTTTCTAGTTCCTTTATAGTCTTAAAGATAATTTTTTTGGCTCAACTAGCATTTATTTTGGTAAACAGGTAGAGATATTAACTTTTTTTTTTTCAAATGGTTAGCCAGTTGTCACCAAACCATATAATAAATGACCAACATTTTTTCCCATTGACTCAAATACTGACTTTATTTTATCCTATAAAAGTACGAATCTATTTCTGGGCTTTGTTTTGTTATTAGTCTATCCATATGCCAGAACTAAGTGTCTTAATTATAACTGCCTTACTCCAAAACTCCCCATGCTGTACTCTTCTTTAGCAAAATTTTCAAAACATGTTTGCACATTCATTTTCCAATGTTAACTTTAGAATGACTTTCTATTAAAAAATCAACTGGTGCTTAAATTTAATTTGTAGATTAATTTGGAGAGAAATGACATCTTTATAAAAGCCTTATTAAAGGTGATTGTTCCTCTGAATAGTTTTAAAGTTTTCTTCCCATAGGCCCTACATATTTCTTATTTTCGTTGTTACATAGGGAATCTTTCATTATTTTTTAAGTGGCTATTGTTTATAATGGATTTTATCTACATAAGCAGAGATGATTTTGTTTTCTCCTTTCAAAGCTGCACATTTTATTTCTTTTGATCAGCTATACTGACTAGCTATTTTAGAATGTTAGTGGAAAGGAGAGCCATCCGCAATTCTCTTGCCTCAGCCTCCCAAGTAGCTGGGACTGCAGGTGCCTACCACAATGCAGGGCTATTTTTTTTTTTTTATTGTAGTTGTCATTGTTGTTTAGCTGGCCTGGGCTGGGTTCAAACCCGCTAGCCCTGGTGCATGTGGCCAGTGCCCTAACCATTGAGCACAGGAGCCAACCCACTTATTTTGTTTCTGACTTTAATGGGAATACATTTTTTTGTAAGAGAAGTTATCCTACTTACACATGTTCAATTCAAAATGAGAATATTAGAGAGCTGCCATTATTCTAAAACTATTATTTTAGAATGTAGGCATCTAATGCAATAAATTTCCCTCTTAAGATCACTTTTGCTGTATCCCACAGGTTTGGGTCACTTGTGTCTTCATTGTTATTATGTTTAAGGAATTTTAAAATTTCCTTTTTTATTTCTTTCTAAACCCAACTTCATTCAGAATAAGGTTGTTTAATTTCCATGCCTTGGTGTGGTGATAAATGTTTTTGTTGGAGTTGAGTTCCACCTTTATTACATTTCAGTCTGAGAAGATACAAGGTATAATTTCTATTCTTTTCATTTTACTGAGGTTTGATTTGTATCCTAGGATGTGATCTATTTTGGAGTATGCATCATGGGCTAATGAGAAAAATGTATATTCTTTAGCTTTGGGATATTGTGTTCTGTATATGTCTATTTTTTTTTTTTTTGGCCAGGGCTGGGTTTGAACCTGCCACCCTTGGCATATGGGACCGGCACCCTACTCCTTGAGCCAAAGGTGCCGCCCCTTGTATTTACTTCTAAGACGGGGGCTGACAATTGAATGTTTGGAGGAGGCACTTGTCTGAACAAAGTGAAAAG